GAGCCTTAAATCTCCATTTGCAATATGGATTATTAGAGAAGTGATTTAAAATTCAATATTTCGGTGCAAAAGTTAAAAAATGCACATCAGTTATTAAATCAGAAAGCAGGAGACAATTAACAAATATAGACATATGCCTGAAAAAACATTAATTAGCATTTGAAGAATCTTGGCCTCTCTGTATATTGGACTTATTCTCATTAGTCCCAGAGATTATGACTAATTTTAATGTATACTGGAGTTGTAATCTAAAATAACTGGTTTTACGATAACTGTAAAAAAATGTATATAAAATGCTGCTAACTTAGGTCGGAGACAATTTTTATATGGATTTAGTAACTAATTAATGACTGTAACTAAAATAGACTCTTGTGTGACTCTGGTTCTAGAACTTAACTGACCTGCAGAGATGTAATAAGGCTGACCAGACTAGTGATTATGAGACAAGATGCTTCCCTTGCAATTAAAGAACTCTCCTGAATTTGAATGCTTTGAGTGCCTGCTTTGAACACATGCACGTCCAGAAAATATTTCATGAGCAAACTGTACCTCTGGATCCAGCTATTGGACACATAAAGCAACTGCAATTATTTCAGTGCTTGGTGTAGCAGCTTTGGGGCTTTCTGGATGTAAAAAAATATATTAAACAAATAAATGAGTTAATAAAACTCTTGTCACATTCCTGGATTACTACTAGGGAGTAATTGAAAATATAGCTTTATAGTAAAGTTACATATTTTAAATGTATTTTCACTAAACAAGTAATTTCTATGCTTCTATCTACTTACATAAGATTTTATGAGTGTGATGAAAACAGATTATCTTTTGAGCCATCTATAAAATGTATCTTTGAAGTCTATCACTGTCATCCACTTTTTTTTATCAGCAAGGATGTTTTTTCTTGATCAATGCCACTGTCTTATCCAATATTTTTACAGCACTGCCTTTCCACCAAAATCCGCAGAGACCACAATGGCAAACTAGAAATGCAAGTCTACAGAAAAACCACCCATACTAACAAAGTGCTCCACTACCAAAGCAACAACTCAACCTCCTACAAGAGAAGCTACCTAAGGACTTTATTTAAATGAGCCCAAACACACTGCAGCAACCCAGAGTAGCAGAAAAAGGAAATGGAGCATCTATACAGTACAACACATTCCAACAAAATGATTACCTATGCAACTATATCAAAATATCCTTGACCACTCAACCCAATTGCTTTCGTGGTGTGGAGACAATAACTTGGTCCTCAACACCAATAAGACCAAGGAGCTTATAGAAGGAACAGATCAGACATCCAGCCCTTGCTTATCAATGGAGACTGAGTGGAGCAAGTGACCAGTTTTAAGTTTATGGGTGTTACCATAAAAGAGGACCTGACCTGGGGTGTCCATATTGCAACACTGATCAAAAGGGCCCAGCAGAGATTTTACTACCTGAGACTTCTCAGAAAACAATAACTGAATGAAAAACTGCTGGTGACCTTCTACTGCTGCACCATAGAGAGCATTTTAACATACTGCACCTATGTATGGTTTGCCAATTGCACAGGGGCAGATAGGAAAGCACTTTAAAGGGTTAATGTCATTGCCCAGAAGATCATTGGTTGCCCTCTCCCCTCTTTTGAAGAGCTTTATAACTCCTGCTGCCTTAAGAAAGTTCAAAACATTCTCAAAGATCCATCTCATCCTGGGAACTCTTTTTTTGAACTATTACCACCTGGCAGACGGTACAGAATAATAAAAACAAGGCCAAATAGGCTGAAAAACAGCTTCTATCTCAGGGCAGTAGCTCTTTTGAATTCTGCTGTATAGTGCAGTGTTGATGTGGTATCGGGGGTTTCCGGTTCAATGTGTGAAGGGTGAAGGATGTGTATTTGTGTCTATTTTCATGGTCATGGTCATGGTCATGATGTGCACTGAAGATGGTGTTTGATTTTGTTGTATGAGATGCAATGACAGTAAAGTAAAGTAAAGTAAAGTAAA